AACAGCAGCAGCAACAAGATCATTTAGTTGATGCTTCAGATAATCAGAAAATAGCCGCAGCTCAATTTAGAGATGATGTTAAAATTATGATAAATAAAATTCAACGAAAGATGTCAGAGATCAGATACACAGATATGAACAAAAGAAAAAATGTCAACAAAATTTCACATCCGTACAAAATCTCCAAAGACCTGGAGTTAGCAAATAAAGCTTTAAAATATATATTAGAAAAAAGTAGTCATAATCTTACAGATTTAAATGTTATGATTTACAAATTTGCAATTGTTATTGCAGGAGAAAAAGATGAAAAAGTGGAGTCTTATCAACACATAAAGATTCAACCTTGGAAGAAAAGAATACAACAAACAATTGCCAATTACAGAAAGGAACTTGCTTTGATAAAAAAATTTATGAAAGGAAACTCTAGTCCTAAGATCACAGATGAGGTGAAAATTATGAAGTTAAATTAGACAAATTAAATGAAGTCCAGACAACAATTATAATGAAATTACAGGCTAAAGCGCAAAGACTTAGAAGATATACTAGACGTAGTGATCAATTTTTACAAAATATAATGTGTAATAATAGTAGCAAAAAATTTTACAGAAAAATAAAAAACAAGAAAGAAGAAAGTATTGATCCTTCTTCATTGACAGAAATTGATGGTTTCTGGAGACAAATTCTTGAAAATAGGGTATATCACAGAAATGAAGCAGACTGGATTACAGATGTAAAAAGATCACTTAATCATTTGGAGGAAAGTTAGTGGAAAGACCTCACACTTGATGAAGTCACTAAAGCTATTAAAAAATCTTCAAATTGGAAAAGCCCAGGACCAGATAGAATACAAAACTTCTGGATTAAAAAACTATCAGTGATTCATCCTTCATTAACAGAGGCTTTCAATGCAATAATTAAAGATGCAACACTTATACCAAAATGGCTGACAGAGGGAGTAACGTATTTATTGTCCAATGGATCAGACACTAGAGACCCTAGCAAATGTAGACCAATAACATGTTTGCCAACGATGTTTAAAGTTCTCACCAGTACTATAACAGAAAGAATATATGACTACCTACTTGCGAATGAACTGTTTCCTCCAGAACAGAAAGGATTCAAAAGATCTTCGAGAGGATGAACATGGCAATTATCGGATCAGCAATAAAAGAAAAAAGAAATCTAAATATAGCATGGATCGATTATAAGAAAGCATTTGATAGTGTCCCACATTCCTGGATTTTGGAAATAATGTCTATATATAAATTGCCAAGTGATATCAGAATATTCATTGAAAATTCAATGTCTAATTGGAAAACCAGAATGTGTCTCTACCACGACAATGGTTTGTTAATCACGGACATTATACAAATAAAAAGAGGAATTTTTCTAGGAAACTCACTTTCACCATTGTTATTCTGCATGTCTTTATTTCCACTTACTGGTATCCTTAACAAGCAGATGTTAGGTTATAAAATATATGATCAATGTGTTGGCCATTTACTGTACATGGATGATCTGAAACTATTCATGCCAAACGAAGATCAACTAAGAAGAGCACTACTGATTGTGAAGAACTTTAGTACAGATATACAAATGATGTTTGGAATAGATAAATGTGCCACCATAGAAATAAGGAGGGGGACAGTGATGCTAAATGATGGTGTTGATGTTGGTCCTGAAACTCATATCGGAGGTGTTGATGCAGAGGAGACGTACAGATACCTGGGAATGGAAGAGGTGGGAGGAATTCAACAGCAAATGATGAAGGAGCAGATAAAAAAAGAGTATAACAATAGAATAAGATCCATATTAAAGACCCAGTTGAATGCCAAAAATAAAGTGATAGCCAAGTGATAGCAATCCCGGTTATGATTTATAATTATGGTATTCTTGAATGGCGGAGATCCGAACTGCAGGCGATAGATAGAAAAACAAGAAAATTACTCACAATGGGAGGAGCACACCACCCAAATGCAGATGTTGACCGACTATATATTAGCAGGAAAGATGGTGGAAGAGGCCTTATTGGAATTGAAGATTCATTTGAAAAATCTCTGATAGATCTCAACTCTTATATTCAAGCAAAACAAGATAAACATGTTGAAATAATTGCGAAAGCTGATGAAAATAAAAAGAAATATTCAATTTTAAAGGAAGTGGAAAAAATAAAACGTCTGTACTCCATTCATGAAGAAATTATTAAGAAAGATTTTAAAAAACTACAAGAAAGCAACCACAAAAATAGATACAAATGCAAATCACTCCACGGTCAATTTATCAACAGTATAGATAAAAAAAGGAATTGATTTAACATACACATGGAAATGGTTACAAAGTTCAGGTCTGAAAATAAAAACGGAGAGTCTTCTGATTGCAGTACAAGAGAAGGCTTTGATCACAAAGTATTTTCAGAAAAAAAAATTTAAAGCAAAAAGTGGATGATTTATGCAAGATGTGTCACAGACAAGTTGAAAGCATCAGCCATGTGATATCAGGATGCACAGTAATGGCACCAACAGAATACACTAAAAGACACAATAAGGTTGCAAGTTATCTTCATTGGATGATGCGCGGAAATTTTGGACTGGAAACAACTGCAGAATACTACAAGCACGAACCACAGAAGGTTACAAACTATGACAATGGAAAGATTCTA